GCTCTTGAAGTGACTTAAGTAATTTTTTCTTTAAGAAAAATGACATTTCAGTATGTAAATGTAGGGCAAATAGAATTCAAGTACCTTACTTCTAGTTGAGAAGGCAGGAAGAGGCCTGCATCAGTTGATGCTTACCCTTGTCATATTAATTTCCCAGAGTTCTAATAGTTGTACAAATGGGGAGAAGACAATAAAGTAAGCTGCCATATCTTAATGCAAAGTTAGTCCAGAGAACCCTCATACTTGCAGGGAGATTTTCTTAATTACTGTCTGATGTTTTCTTAAGTTATAGTCATATACAGACTCTACTTTTCAAAGTCACAGCTATTAATCAAAAAAGGGTGGAGAGAGCTATTCCCAGGAGCTGCATTCAGTATTAAAGTTTGACAAGACTAAGGTTATTACATAGAGAGGTAAAATAGTAGGAGAAACATGATTTTAAGAAGTATTAAATCATCTATTTTATTTAATGTACATAGTGCATTTTATATTATAATGTGTTTTATAAAAATGTAAGAGAAAGATGCATGTTTCAATGTTTCTGGATCAGTTTTGTTCATCAGTTTATTTTGTTCATTAGATTCCACATATAAGTGAGATCATGTGATACTTGTCAGACTTATTTCATTTAGCATAATACTCCCCATGTACTTCAGAGGGGAAGGGTGGGAGTGGTGGGAAGAGATTAACCTAAGGACTTATATGCATATATACATAGCCCATGGGCAAACAATAGTACTGGGAAGGCCTGGGAGAGGGCAGGAAAGGGATGGAGGGGACCAAAGGAGGAAAGAAAGGGCATCTGTAATACTTTCAACAATAAAAAATTATATATATATATATATATATATATATATATATATGAAGTTAATGACACATACACATACTCAGGCAAACAATATGTATGTCCAGTTGAACTTTAATTTGAAGATCTTTCTTTCTGAATATAATATACCATTTACCAGAATGTTCCAGGGCAAAAGAAAACACACAAATAAACAAAAAAAATAACTAAAAAAACAAAAGTCCCAGTATTTGTGTCGTATGTGTTTTTGTATAAGATAAACTCAAAAAAGGAAATAAAGTTCTCAACAAAATTTGGGTCTATTTTCTGGTTATATTTTGCCCTTGTCTCTTTTTCATCCTTTCTAGGACAGTTCCTGGTTAAACAAGACAGTCTCCATCTTTGCAGTGCCTCCTCAGGCATGGCAAGGGATATAGCTTCTGCAAGGGTTAGCTATTGAACTGGATCTACTCTGCAGCCAAGAGAGGTCTTAGTTACAGGTGGCAAGCTTTTCACTCCTCATTCTAAAGAAATTCATTTCTCTAAAGGATCCCTTGCTCTTACCTCAGATTTTTCCTCTGTCTATGATGGAGGAAAAGGAAAAAATAGCTTAACACCAAATCAAATTTTTTCTAAGTAGTCTAATCCCAAGTTACACTTTAATCAGAAACATGTTTATTTGCTAACCATTTATCTCATAAAGATCTATTGGGGATGAATTGATAGGTGTTTTAGAATTAAACGATTTAAGCTTTTTCTTTTTATTCATTTTTTTAATGCGTGATATCATTGACTTGATTCTCACCATTGGCTTGTCATTCTACACATTAACAAGTCAGAAGATTGATTTTGCTTCTCAGAAAACGGAAAAAAAATGGTGACATATTAAACAGTGAAAACACAGAGATATGTCCAAACGGGTCCTCTTCTATAAAATAAAGCATATTGCAAGAAAGTGGATAATAACACAAAGGATAAATAAATTGATTGGTATTAACTGAAGTAACCGGATACCATGATAGTGCTGACAAAACTAAAAATAAGAAGCTGTAGACTGCCCATAGTATTTGCCTAGTCATAACTGCTAGCAGGCAGAGCAGACTCCCCCTAGCCAAAGGCAGTTGCTCACTATTGCCCCTACCACCCTGCCTTCCCTGCACACAGAAAAGACAGACCTGCTAAGTATTTCATCTGTGTCCTGGAAATAAGCTTTCCCTTTACAACCTCACCAAGTCCTAATAAAACAGTCGGGCGGTGGGAGAAACATAAGCCAGGGCCCCGAAGCAATGTTTTCAGACAAGACTAAGACAAGGAAGGCATGAGCAATTTGTTTGAGCAAGAACTGACAGTATCAACAAAGTGTGATGTGCCTGTGGAGCAGTGTTTGATAAATGGGAGGCAGCCATAAACATGAGAAGACAATCCAGTGGTGCTTTGCACCCCCTCCCCCTTCTAGGATTTTTTTTTCTTCTTCTTTAAATCCTCTCTCTCTTTTGGTGTATTAATATGGCCTGATCTGAGATGCTCACAAGTATACAGATATCACTGGGCTGGTGCTCTCTCCCTGGTTGCTGTATCGGACACTTATTTATTTATTTGGACCTGCTGCTGGTGCTGCTGCTGGTTGCAGTGGTGCATTTTCCCTGGCATACCCACATGCCTCCCACCCCACCCCCAGTTGGCTGTGAAAGCGACACTGTCTTAATCAGTGGTTTACATACTTAATAAAAGACACCCATGCCCTTAAAAGAGAGAGAGAGAGAGAGAGAATGCAGCTGATGGAATCTTCCGGGTAGAGAAAGTAAATCCTCCTCGGGCTGAGAGCGAGAGGGGCACGGGCAGACAGTTATTTCGCAGTGCACTGAATAGACAATTCGCAGGGAAATGTTGAAGGCAGAGAGGAGATGACCCCTAAGTGCAGTCCATTGCCCACACGCTCTATAATAAATAATCTTCGAGCCCCAGCCCAGCAGTGTGTGCAATGACGTGCTGGGGCCAGCTCACACAGATTGGCGAGGAAAACATATCCAGCGGTGTCGAATTTTCATCACAATCACCAAATTAACTGATTTCCCCACATAACACTCCTCTACCCGGCGTGGCGCGAGCACGGGAGCGCGCGTGAGCACACACACACACACACACACACACACACACTCGCGCGCGCGCGCGCGCACACACACACACACAGGCACACACACACAGGGGCTGAGAAATACAAGTTACTGAGAGGTGAAGCGGGGTCTCTGGGAGGGTGTCTCAGCACCGATTAGAAACCCAAGTAACGTGTCAGCCAGCTACCAGGGTTACTTGTGCGAGGGTGGGGGTGTGAGCGCTGGGAAATGGGACGAGGCAGCCTAAGCAGGAAGAATGGGCTGTCTGCCTTCTCGGGGATTACGGCGTATGACATATCTGAAATTTACATCCAACATAAAATACACAAGATTGCCACAAAAATATTCTAAAGAATACCTCTGCAAGGTCAGCTAGTTAATTCGGGAAAATTCTGTCCACTAGCTCTTCTTTCATATTCATAAATATGCATACATAAAATACGGCCCCGGTCTGTATCCCGGAGGAGGATAGGAGAGAGGATGCATTCCAAGAACTTGCTGAAAGATGGTTCATTGACCTCATTTAAATCCTCCAAAGGCCAAGTGGGTTTTGCACGCCTGTGGGTCTACATGTGCTTTACTTTCACATTCCTTTTACCCAGAGACACATACGTTTGATCAACTTATCTTTCCGCACATACACAAATAATGACAGAGGGGTTAGAGGTGGGCAAAGATTGGAGGAGAAATCAAGAGTCACCTAGCTTTAAAAAAACCCTATCGACCATCCTTTCTCATCCATTCTCCCCGAACCTCACACTCAAACCACAATCCCCACACGACTCCCTTCAAAGCCACAATCTTCCTCCTTACAGCCCCTGCCCGCCGAGCCCTAGAACGCCGCCTCCGCCTCCACCACCACCCCAAAGTGTGCTCTCCCCGTGCACGCCTCCTCCAAACGCCGCCGCTTATTTCCCCATCAGCACCGTCCTCCCGGTGCCCACAGACCCTCCCTCCCTCCCCCAAAAGCGCGTCTGGGGGACAGTGCACCTCAGCTCCCTAGTCCCTCCGCATCCAAACCCAGGGATTTGCATAATCACAGTGTTTTGTGCAGTTTCCCTCCACTGCGGTCCTAGGGGTGCTCACATTTTACGTGGAAGGGTAGCATTAATTACGGAAAGAAGCGGCAGAGAGCGGGTGGAGAGGTCGGGAATCTAAGCGAAAACCCCGAGCAGAAAGTAACTGTGAGGATGCATATATTTCTTTACTGGGGGGGGAAAGGGGGGGGGGAGAAAAAGAAAAGAAAACCACATGGACTGAATAATAAAAAGTCGGTTTGTTGATAAAGTGGCTTTGGGTCATTTAATTGTTTTCCCCCTTCTCGCCCTCCTCCCTCCCTCCCACCCCCCACCCCCGTTTATTCATTCATTCTGTCTTTTTCTCCTTTTTAAAAATCTTTCTTTTCTTTCTTTCTTCCTTTCGTCCGTTCTTCTTCTTTTTTTAAAATCCCAAACACAGCCCCCTCTCTTCCTAGGTGAATGACAAGTCTCGCAACACATCCCCCCGCCGCCCCCCACACCCCCGGGATGTTATTGCAATGCACACGGTGCTGCCGCTGCTGCTGTTCTCGCCTCTCGCCGTCTCGGTAGCTCGCTCCCAGACTCTCACTCACTTTTTAAAGACACAGGATATGATGATGGTGGGAAGCAGGGGAAGGAGAAAGGCGACCCGACAGGAGGGAGGTTAAAGGGATGACAAGAGATGGAGAGGGTCGGTCAGGAGCGTGATGTGGGAAGTGGCTGGTGGGTGGTGGTGAGAGGGTGGAATGTTCAGAAAAGGCACAAGTTGCCAGCCAAAAGGCGTAGGAAGGGGGGGGGGGTGGTGGCGGGGATGGAGTGAGAAATATAGGAAGCTCAGGTGAATGGAAAGGCGAAAGGTGCCGCGTGAGGGGCTGACAGCTGGGAGAGCGGGGCTGAGCCAGCGGTAGATCCGAGGGGCTGGAGCAAACTGCCACTGCCCCCTGCTGCACAGGGGAGTAGGGGGAGGGGGTGGGCATCTCTGGGGACCGGGGGACCGAAGTGGGGAGAGTGGAAATATGGGGTGGAGTGGGGATGATGGGGAATGGGCGTGAAGTTGATGCTCCCCGGCGGGGCGGGGATTACCTTGTAGTAGGAGCCCGCAGACGCTGTAGAAGCGGAGAACGGCGCTTCGTTTCCAAATCATGGTCCCTTCTCTAAAGGGTCGGGGAAGGAACCAGGGGGCAAGGATCTGCTGGTGAGCGGGGCAACGGAGTGCAGGGCTCCGCCGGTGTCCTCCTCGCGGTGCCCGCCGGACCCACGGTCCCCGCTGCTGCGGTATTCGAACCCGCGGACGCGGATCGGCGGCAGCAGAAGCGGCAGCGGCGAAGCACCCGCAGACCCGCAGAATGGGGTTGCGGTGGGCGAAATAGTTTCCTCTCGTCCTCCTCCTGCTGGTGTGCAGCCGCGACAGCCCGTCTGCTAGGCACGGGGTCGGGGCTCGCCTTCCTCTCGGCGCGCACAGCAAGTCCGAGCTCCTGCCGGGGCTGCCCGAGCAGGTGGTGCAGGGATGCCGGGGTGTCGGAAAAGGTGCGTACGAGGGCTGCAAGGAGTGGGTAGGTCACGGCAGGGAGGGGCGGAGGGAGAGGGGGTGCATGCAAGCAGCAGCCGCCGCACGCGCTCGGGGTGTCTCGGGGTCCTGGGAGGGGAGATGGTAGCAGTGGAAGCAGCTCTAGCGGCGGCGGCGGCGGCTCCCGGATGCTCCGGCTGCAGCAGCGGCGGCGGCGGCGGCGGCGGCGGCTGAGGCAGCAGCGGCGGCAGCAGCAGCGGCAGCTCTACCGCGCACTAGACACAAGGGCAAGCTCAGCGCCGCGGAGGCCCCGCCCTCATCCTGGCCAGACAGACACCGCCCCCTGACCAATGGAAACGCACCCGCCCCCCGGTCCTGACCAGTGAGAGGAAGGGCTGGGTGGAGACAAGCGCCGGGAAAAACAAACAGGCTTCTCAAGGACCCTTCGGGCAGGAAGAACTGAAGCCCCCATTCACACACCCCTGGCGGGTCTCACACCCTTAGAGATGTCTTGTCCTAAAACTTGCAGAAAAGACAGCCGTCTTCATTAATCATGGCTTTGCACTCGGGAAGGGTTCAGCCAATCGTCACCACGAGGGGGCGGGGTTAGCCGTGTCCCCAGCAGGTTCTGGGATCCGTGGTGCCTGGGACAAGTCCTGGGTGCGAAGTTCTTTTGCGCATTTGGACTCCCTAGAGCAGATGGTGGCTGCACCTGCCCACTCACCAGCTGCAGTACCATTCTCTGACGCTCCCAGCAGCAAAAGGGAAAATTGCAGAGGGCGTGGGAGATGCTAAGTATAACTGGGACTGGCACACCTACTGCCTGCAAGAACTTGTGTGGAGGGAAGGAACAAGTTAGGGGTGGAGGAAATTATTTTGTTTGTTGTTGTTGTTGTTGTTGTTGTTGTTGTTGTTGTTGTTATTCTCCAGAGTTTTTACTTAGTCTAGGCATAAATCTCATTAAAGCCTCATTAGTGGGTGACAGTATCAGTCGTTACTAGGATCAGGCAGACCCTGGTTCATGTACCATACTGTCTCTTCTTGCTTCATAATGTTTGATAATTTTACTTGGACGATTAAACCTGAAGCCTCCTCAACTATATACAGGGATAATAATAGTACTTAACTCCGAGTTATAGGGATTAGTTGAGAATGCAAACTATACAGGGTCATGCAATGTGTAAGTGCTTTATAAAAGATGGCTCTAGTCTAACTGTTTAGTGGGGCTTTTCTAATTCAGGATAGCAGGAAATCTTAGGCAATCGCCTATAAATGTTTTAACAATAGTCTTAAGGAAGGGAGAAAAAGTACAATTGTACTTTCTTCAGGGACTCAACCTTAAGTGGTCATAAAAAGGAACTCTGGAATCTGGAGGGAAAAAAAACAAAAAAAAACTCCTATATAAACCCTCACCATGAAAAGTGTTCTTTAAAAGAGGAGATATAAATGAGCAAGACATAAATTAATCAGAAGTTGTGTTTCCAAATTAGCTTAATTCCCAGGCTTTTCCCTATGACCAGTTTTTAATTGGACCAAATTAGCAGATGATGGACTATTCCAGTAGGGTTAAATCAGTCACACCATAAATAAAGTCTGCGTTGTTTGAAAGACTACACAATAGAAACCTGCAAGCAAGAAGACAGAGGGAAAGATGAGAGGCAAGATCAATATTGATGCCCTTCGCTCTTTCTCATTTGTTGCTTTTTTTTGCCACAACCTTTTACAAATTCAACCCCTGCCTTTTAACGAATGACCTATTCATTTCTCTGTCCACTTTCCTCCCCAGGTTCTCAAAATTAAGAAATAAAATGTCCATAATAAAACTGCAAGGGGACCTTAGAAGGAAGAGGATGTGTGAATACTCTTGTTATTGTAGGAAATAGTGGCCCACTGTGAGTTTTAGCTGTTAAGAAAGTCAGTCCAAAGATACTGCTGTCATTTAAACTATTGTGAGCATCAAAGCTGAAGTTCTAATCATTATTGACGCATACTTAGGCTCTTTGTCAGGAAGACTATAATAAACAGAAATGCCAAATAATTAGGGTTTCTTTATTAAAGCAGTAGTCAGGAGTCCTGGCTTCTAGCACTGATAACCCTATGAGTTTGGGCATATATTCAACTTCCTTGACCCTCAACTATAATATGAGGAAGCTGCATTTGATGATTTCCAAAGTCTCACAAAGCTTTTAAGCAATCATTATTCTAAGATTTTTGTATTCAAGAAAATGCCCCAACTGAACATGAGTATCTCAGCATTTGTGATCAATACTAAGAAGCAAATCATGTTTTTGTTGTTGTGATAACTACCAGAGCAATTAGGATTTCTACAATGAAGTAGTCTCTAGGTTTGCTATGCAGCATGTGGTCCTCAGACAAACATCATCACCGTTACCTTGGAACTTGTTAGAACTGCAGAATCTCAGGTCTTTCATTATAACAGGATTCCAGGGTGATTTATCTGTACACAAAAATTGAGAATCACTAGTTTTTAACACTGCTTTACTGAGCACTCAACCGCAGGAAGCATTTCAGTGGGTGTTCTAGAAGAGTAAAAAGGCCAGAGGATTTTTTTTTAAATTACTATTTTCAGGAACCCCAGGAGTCTCCTTGTCATCACAACAAAAAGAAAAGTAACTCTTTTTGTAAACTATGGAACAAATCGATTAATTTAATTAGGTATTTTTTAAATGGTTGCAAGTTTGATTGTGATGATAGTCATAAACTTTCATGTGGTTAAAAGCTCTCTCTAGTCCACACTGGAGTTTGCACTTATTCCAGCCCTGGGAGAAAAGCACTCAAAATGCAAACTCTGGCCACTTGGATAAATAATGTAATTTGCAAGTATAAAAAATAGGTAACACTATATTTTCTAAATAGTCTATGCTTAGATGATATTTTTCAATTATTTTTTAAATATCAAATGCTCCTTTGTTGTAAGAACTTTCAATACTTTAAAGTGTGACTATAGTCAAAATGTTCAAAGTTGTCATTTTATAAGTAAATTCATTTCTAAAATGTAAAACATTTCTTAGAATGCAATTAAACATCTTTAAATATCTTCATTTATAGTTTTAGGGCAATTCTTGTCTCTCTATATTATCAGTGTCTCTAAATCTACAAATTACCTGACCCCTTATGAATCATCAGATGCTTAATATCATAAATTGCCAAAAGATGACATCTATCTGCCCAGCTGTTGTGGCTCAGTGGTTCTGCAACAACCCATGAACCAGGAGGTCATGGTTCAATTCTGGGTTAGAGCACATGCCTGGGTAGCAGGCAGGATCCCCAGTAGGGAACATGCAGGAGGCAACTGGTCAATGATTCTCTCCCATCAGTGATGTTTCTATCTATCTTTCCCTCTCCCTTCCTCTTTCTGAAATCAATAAAAACATATCTTTAAAAAAAGATGGCATCTATCCATCTTTAATTTCTTTATCATTAAGCCTTGTATTCATCTTCACTTCATGGAAAAATATTTTTTAACATTTAACTTCATGTTTTGAAATACTTTTTAAAAAATGAATGCTTTAGATGCAAGTAATTCATGTAATACTGTTTTAAAAGTTGTGTAAAAATAGCACACACCTTTTCCCTGCTTTGGATATGATGGTTCTCTTTGCTAGTGCTGTCACACGATAGAATGACAGCCTCCTCCTCCTGCAAGAGTATTGTATGTGTTAGGATTCTTTTAAGATGGATTTTACAGAGGAGTTTAGTTTGTACATTATAACTGCTTTTACACCAGTAAGAGAGAATTGGAATTTATCAAGTTTGTGATGGTTATGCCTTTTTTTTTTTTATTCTACAAGGAGCAAAGTAATCTGTCCAAGGTTTTAAAGTGATGGATGATAATTAGCAAGATGAGGGGGGATCCTTTCACAATGTATACATATATCAAATCATCACAATGTACACTTTAAATACTTTTTGTTTTAATTTGTAAATGGTGCCTCTGTAAAGTTGAAAAAATTAAAAAAAAAACAGTTTTACTTGTGTCAAAATGTTATGAAATGAAAATGGGAAGTTATTAAGAGACATCAGTTGTTACCACTATGGATACATTTCCTGGGATTTCACCTGGTTACTTAGAATATTATATTTTGCTTTTAAAACTTTAATTTAAGTGAAATATCTAAATACTTTAAATATATAGTCATTATGGATCCCCAGAACTAAAAATATAAAAATCCATGCTAAGTTGACTCTTATAGTAAATTGACTCTTGAAGTAAATTGACCTAGAAAAAGAAATCTCATGGTCTGGTGAAAATGTAGACCATTGTGAAATAAAAAGAGCTTATTGAATACTGGAAGCCTTGATTGTCATTCTCCATGCTCACCAGCATTTTAAATATGAGGTCAGCTGCTTATGTTGGAGAGATGTTAAGAGTCCTTGAGTATAATATATAGTACATATAATATAATGGATAGCATATATTATTACATACATATATTATATATACAAGGATGAGCAAAAGTAGGGTTATAATTGCTAGTATGAAAATAATACAAATAGTACAATAATTGATAGATAACACATCTCATGTACTCACAAATGTATACCTGCTTTTGCCCACCCCTGTATATGATAGCATATAGCAATATTAACTGCTTTGAATTACATTTTAATTTAGAATTTTGCTACTATTTATACAACATTCCATGTCCTACATCAGAATTATGACTTATTATTTTATCTCACCCCAAATGTTTATTGCTAGAATTTTAAATTATGGTAATGATAGTATATCAAAGCCTGAAGAGAAATTCAGAAATTTACAAACTCAAGATGAGCTATTTCTGCATTTTTACATAAATGAACCAGCATATACATATACTCTCATTTGGAAAGATGCAATCACAATATGTAGAGTAAAACTGACCTTGTGCTATTATGTAGGATAACTTCTAGCTCTACAATGATTGACTTTAAATGATGTAAGATATATGGCCACCACACACTTTCTTAAATTCAGCAAGAATGATAATTATTTTCCTCCATTTCCCCCAAACAAGCAAACATTCACTATACTTTACGGAAGATCATATGATCGTAGTATTTAAAAGCAGCTAATGTGCAAAATAGTAGTTTTGCACATGACCAAAGATAAATGGAAATATCCTGGCTATGACGCTCAAGAGAATGACTCTGCATCCATTCAAGTCAATTTCATACCTGCAACATGGTTTTCCGACGTGGAGCTTTTCTACATGGAACACTCATTCAATATCATTATATAAGTCATTTCATTACTTTAGCAAGAAGTTTGCTCAAATTTGATATTCTCAGGTAGTCATTTACTGATGACCTTCTGCCCTCGACCCATCCACTTACTCTTTGCACATCTATCTTATTTTATT